CTTTTTGGCTACTGTTTTAGGCCTATTTTAGAGCTGCCTAATTCATGTATAAGTCCATCTTGCCATCCATTTGCATTGCCATATGCATGCTTGTATGGGCGAAAGGGGGTGCTCGTAGCTGACCTTCCCCGATCGTACCCAAGCTCCCGAGCCGAGACAACTCCGGTGATGACGGACATGTGGCCTTCGGCACCGAGTCAGGGTTTCCTAAATTCCCCATTTTTTTAAAAATATTTAGGTGGTGACTCTGTATCTGGCAAAGCAGTCCATGTTTGGCACTACTTTTTCAAAAATCTGTTTCTCAAAACGATTTGCCAGATTTGGACTCTTTGGTTCAGATTAAGAACCGTGACACAAATCGAGTCCGAACTATAGCGTAGCGAGGTCCCTCGCGGACATGTTACAGCGAGCGTCGCCGCCATTGTCCGTCCGGGTGGGCTGGGCTTGGGCGCGGGTGCATGGTGTGAGGTTGGATTCGGCTTGCCCGGCCCAATACCTTTCTTTTTGAGCAAAAAACATTTGAATTTAATTTTATTTTTTTGTAAAATAAAATCTGTCCAGAATTCGAAAATTAATTCTGAAAATCTGACTGTTTAAATTCAAATTTTGGTTAAAAAATTTGCACCTTTCTGTGTAGATTTCAAATATGTCCGAACACTCCTTTACCTGTGTAATTTAAATTCAAGTAGATTTGTATCTGTTTAAATTTAAACCGAACAGGTACCATACCTATTGGATTCAAACCAAACAGTCACCATTCCATCTATAAATAGGCAGCCTCTCATTTGATTCTTTCACTTCAATTTCGTCTCTAACTCTGCCTGCTCTCTTTGCATTTTGCTGCATTGTTTTTTTGTAAGAAGAGTGTAAACACAAAGTGTGTTCGTTGTGCAAATAATTTGTAGTGCTACTATTGTTTACTGTTTATCATTTTATCCTGGGAGATAGATGTCCACATTCTGAAAATATCGTGGAGAGGACGAATCTGTCTTAAGGACATAATGTTAAACACTAGACTTAATCAGAAAATTTGTTCAACAAATTAATTTGGTAAGTAATTAATTTAATTTTCTGTTTTATTATTTTTTCTGCTTCTGTTTTTGTTTCAGATTTTGTTTTTGTTTTTGTAACAAAATAAAAATCTGTTTTATTTATTTTATTTCATTTTCTAGTTTGATTTTTGTAATTGAACAAACTCTCTCTTTTTTTATATTTCTTTTGTATTCTGTTTGTTGTTTAGTACACAAACAAATTTTATTTCATTAAATACAGTGAAAATTGTCCAACAACTCCAACATAGTAAAATTTTACTTTCAATTCAAAGTAAATTTTACTCTAAAATATAGTAAAATTTTATTCTGAATGAGAGTAAAATTTTACTCTCATGTTAAGAAAAGTAATGTTTACTATTTTTAAGACTAGAATTTTACTCAAAATCTTCATGTTCACAAACTCCATTATAAGTTCTTTTACATGAAACTAATCCAACCACATGAAAAAAAAAATATATTAAAATGTCAAATTCAACCCCAAAGCAAATCATAAATTTGGATAGACAACCATTCAATAATATAGTAAAAATGTCTTTTATTGAACACACAGTAGTGACTCGACACTTGTTATTCTTTTCACACACAAACTCAAATTCTGTCTCAATGGTATATTTACATAATGCAGTCCGAAAATCCTTTGCACCTCCAACAAATCTTTGACCTACATGAGTAATTCTATTCACCTATCCAAAAGACAACAAAAGTCCTTTCTTCATGGCGACAAAACATGGGAAGTAAATCAATTTCATCATCAGTAATGTTGGATCTACTCGCATAACAACATAAAAGCTGGAACCATTTTTCAAATCTTCAATCAGTTTACAGTAAAAATTTACTGTCAATCAAAGTAAAATTTTACTATCACTACGAGTCTAAAAACAAATCACAAAAGCACAAAATACCAAAGTAAAATTTTACTGTCATTCTATCAAATAAAAACAGAGCACAAACCAGAATACAATTTTACTCTCATTTTATCAAACAAAAACAGAGCATATAGTACAAGAGTAAAATTTTACTCTCAAACAAAAAACAGAGCACATAGAATCAGAGTAAAATTTTACTCCTGAACAAAAACAGAGCACATAGTACTAGAATAAAATTTTACTTATTTTCTATCAAAAAAAAAAAAAAAAAAAAACTAATTAACAAATCAACATACCTGATCAAACACGTGATCGAAGCAAAACCACTAAAATTGGATCAACACTCTCAATCTTGATGAAACTCTCAAAATCTGATACAAATTTGAAATATAAAGCTCTTGTTGATATAGATTTCAAGATTGTTGGAGAATACGTGATCGAAGCAAATTTGGTGAGATCGTTGATGGCGAATCGTCTATTGTTGACCGACAATGAGATTGTTAGCGGCGAGATTTTGAGATTGAGTTTTTGTGAGATCTTCACTTATTGGATTTTCAAATATATGAGATCGTGTATATATGGATCAGATTGTCAAATATATGATATATATATATATATATATATATATATATATGAAAGGGCAATATTGTCTATAAAAAAAAAAATATGGTATGTCCTCATTAATATTTTTAAATATATAATATATATATATATATATATATATATATATATATATATATATATATATGAAAGGGCAATATTGTCCATGAAAAAAAAAATTATGGTATGTCTATCTTGAGCTACTCTCCTCTTCCTCAAGGACTTTTTGAAGCTAAATTAGTTAAGTTGTCCTTTATCCTAGAAAAAAAAGTCCAAAAAGGGGGGTTTCACCAAAAATTCCTAAAAAATATCATAAAAATATTATGATAGTGATATTATTGTAAATATAAATCATGTTTATGAATATTTTGTTTTAAAGTGAAATGTCACCATTAAATTATATCATTGTATTTGAAAATTTTATATAAAATTTATGTTTGTATATCATCACTCAACAAGAATATGTTCTGGTAAAAATTAATGATAGAAAGTTGTAAAATGTAGTCACGATTAGGGCTGCAAACAAGTCGAGCCGAACCGAGCTTTTGAATGTTCAAGCTCGTCTATTAAGAATTAGTCGAGCCCGAGCTTGAGCCGAGCTCTAGTTGAGCTTCAAAAATCGAGCTCGAGCTTGGCTCGTCAAATATTTGTTGAACTCGAGCTCAGCTCGAGCTCTCTCGATTACATAAATGAGCCGAGTTCAAGTTCGAGTTCGAGCTCGAGCTTGAAAAAAAATTAAATTTAAATTAATTTATTATTTTATTATTTAAGGCAAAAAAAAAATTATGAGTAAAATATATAATAACACTTATATTAATAATAAATTTCATCAATCAAATATGTAAATTTACACAAACACCAAACATAAATAAAAAATAAAATAGATTATTGAAAATTTATTTAATATATTATCAAAAATAAATAAATATTTATTTATTTTTATGTTCACGAGTTTTATCGAGCCGAGATTAGGGTTACTCGAGCTCAGCTCGATTAATAAACGAGCCTAAAAATCGAGCTCGAGGTCGTTCATTTAGTAAACGAATCGAGTTTAAACAAACTTTAAACGAACTGAGTTCGAGCTATTCAAGAACAGCTCGATTCGTTTGCAACTCTATTTATGATGATGGGAAGAATAAATGGCAGGAAAAGGGGCAAAATGGTTTTTTAAAAAAATTTAGGACATGACTTCAACAATCTGGAGAGCAATTTATAATGAGATTACAAATCTTAGGGAGGAAAATATAATTTTCCAAATGTGAGAAGAAAATCTGTATTAAAAAAAAATCTCAGGAGTCGTCAATATAATTTACCCAAAAAAATTACATAACTATGGGTATATATTAGAATTTCCAATCAAATAGATATTCAATAGGAATAGGAGCTAATGGTGCAATACACCAAGAATCTTCATTTCAACACTATTTTTTGAGATAGACAAAGTTGGATATTGAGAAAATGCAAAGAAGTGAACCACAATACTAGCAGTGTTGTTATTGTGCAGAAAAGGATAAGTGGGGCTCTGCAAAATATAGTTGGATTCATTAAAATTATATCGATTTGTATTAATTTGTATTATTTTATTCATTAATTAAGAATTAAAATTTAAAATTTATAATTCGCATTCGAAATCGTTCCGTTATAGTCACTATATATACATTTTCTAACCTATCAAAGTAAAAATGAGTGAAAAAAATTTAAGATATAAAATTTGTTACAAATTAATAGTTATATATATGTATATATATAAAATTAATTTGTATTATATATATGAAAAATATTATACGAATTAATGTTATATATTATGTAAATACTTGATAATTGGTTAAGAATATTTTTTAATCAGTCAATCTGTCTAAAATTATCTACATCACAATTTGTCATTTCATTAATTTACCATTTAATTTATACTTCTAATCAAAATCAAGGTGATGTGGTTGGTGTGGGCATACAAACAAGTTTGACAAATTTTTTAATCAGTTAATCTGTCTAAAATTATCTACATCACAATTTGTCATTTCATTAATTTACCATTTAATTTATACTTCTATTCAAAATCAAGGTGATGTGGTTGGTGTGGGCATACAAACAAGTTTGACAAAATGTTTCAAAGAGAGAGAGCGCGCGCTGCGAAAAAGCATATGGAGTGACGAGAGTATAGAGGGTATTTTTGTTATTTTCCATCATCGGTTAAGGGAGTCAAGTTTCAATGAGAGGAGATGCAGACGCTGGTAGTTGCAGTCAACCCGCGACGTGCAAGGTCACTGTAGCACGATGCCAGCCGTCACTTCGGCATCACATTTGTTAATAATTTTTTTGAATTTTTCACTCGATAAACCCCCTTATCACATCATTACCAAAAAATTGCTTGGGCTACCGGTGGAGGGTAATTTTGATTGTTGTAGACTCTTCCCTTTGAAAGGCCACTGCAACAAAAAACAAAATGTACAAAATAAATGTTTCAAGAGTAGTTTTCCGAGTAAATTAACTCTCCATGCCAACACAAATGTGGCAATCCTCCATTGAACCACAACTTCGCATTCAATCCTAGTCATTACTCTATAAAAATTTACACATCTATATTAAACAACAGCAAAAACCTATTTATACACAAAAGAATAATTCAAAATCTCCTATAAATGCGAGAGCCTAACCTCGCATGGGACGTTTTCCATGAGGGTCTGGCCGGGGGCTTGTACGGTATGATGCACTTGCACCTGCACCTGCACTTGCACTTGCACTGGCACTGGCACTGGCAGTGACAGTGGCAGTGTTGGTACTGGTGATGGAACCAAATGTGTGGGAATTTGACTCACTGGAAGTTCCGGCAGTGGGCCTTCGAGTTCTTCTATTCCGGGAACTGGAATATCCAGGTCGTGTCGGTTCTTCCAAAGCTCCAGGCTTCTTTGATAACATTACCACCACACGACGCATTGTGGGACGAAGCTGTGGATCAGATTGGGTGCACAACAACCCAATCTGTACACACATTGCTACCTGATCAGGGACAGCCGATGACACCAATCTCGGGTCCAGAACCTCCCAGCTCTTACCCTTCTTAAACAGCTTGTATGCCTGCAAATGATAATCGCAAAATGTGAGTTGAACACAGTTCAGATTGTAATGGGTTGTGGGTAACCATCAAGGTCCAATCTCCTAGAGTTAATTTCATGGTTTTGACAAAATGCTAATTTTTGTTTAATTTGGTTAACTTGTCCAAATCCAAAGGTTAACACATTTCTGAATTTTTTTTTTTTTTAACCAAAATTTTCCAAATCTCAGCCAAAGTTTTAAAAATTTGGTAGACTTTTCACCACCAAATTAATGAAAAAATCATTTTTCCCCAAATTTCACCATCTATTCTGTATTTTCTGCCAATTTTTTTCTAACGAATTTTGACCAATTCAAATTCTGTCATAGTAGTCTGCATCTAACTTTTCTCAAAAGATAAAAGTACTTTTCTTAAACTTGCTTTCTTATTAATATTTTTTGTACAAAAAACTTTTTGACTTAATTTTCCTTATTTTATTGGCGTCAAACCAGCTGCCAAATTTAACTTTTGCTCTGCATTCGTCATCTCTTGAAAATTTTGGTTATGAAGCTTCCACCTAGAATTTCAATCTTTATGAAAATGTCAGTGCATGTTAACAAACGGTCAGCTCAAAATGATGTGGACCCTACTCCGCCTACCTGCTCTAGCTACAGCCATAGGTCAATAAAAAGAGGCCATTATGGCCAGGTTCTAGGGGATATGCTCGGTATACATGGAGGAAAGGGAAAAGAAAAATGACGATGAACTCAAATCTCTAACCTTAAAAATTTTTAGTCTCAACTATTTTACAATATAATGTGAAAATCACAGACGGAGATAAATGGTGAACACCATCATTAGTTATCACCAAATAAAATAATAACAACAACAATAATAATAGTAAAATTAAAACTTTTGTTGAATTTTTTTTTCTAGTTGAATTTTATAGCTTTCCAATTATGGGTAAGACCACAATTGGACAACAATGATTTCAATGACAAAGGTGATTTCCTCGTAAAAAATACAGCAAAAAATAGGACCACTGTAAAATTATATTGAAGACAAATGGATGAAGTGCTTACCCATTCCAGTAAATTTTGATCATCCAAACTTCGATTGAAAGTTGAGTTCTTTTGACCGCTTATCAGCTCCAAAATCACAACCCCAAAGCTAAATACATCTGCCTTCACAGATAGATGTCCATTCATGACGTACTCAGGAGCCATATACCCACTGTTTCCAAATACATGCATCTATTAGATACCGTATCAGTGATATCCTCGATCCAAAGGCTAAAACTACAATCAAAATATAAGCAAGGAAAGCTTAGATGCTTGGCAACATACTTTGTACCAGCTACACGGGTATTCACATGCGTTTGATCTTCAGGGAAGAGGCGGGCCATGCCAAAATCAGCAATTTTTGGGACCCATTTATCATCCAATAGGATATTGCTGGCCTTGATGTCACGGTGGATGATTACACTATGCGAGTCTTCATGAAGGTAAAGCAAGCCCCGGGCAATGCCAGCAATTATGTCATACCTCCGCTTCCAATCAAGTGCATCGTGTCTACCAGACTCTGAATCAAGCGCATCACAAATAGTATCACTATCACAATTAATGCTCTCTCTTCATCCCATAGCTTATTAATAAAGTCAAGAATATCATCTACATCCAATGCTTCTAATGTTAACAAACTTGAGGGTTAGTTTCAACATTGAAATTGGCAGCCCTTTCCAAGTTGCCACCAAGATAGACTTGGATTTGGTCAAGACATTGCAAGTTCAGCATATTGGATGCTATGCCACAGCCATACAAAGAACAAAAAAAGGGTCATCACAGTCTCATTGTCTGTCTCACCAAGTGGTTATGAAAGATGGCAAAGCATTTCTTAGATATATGAATGAATATATTACAAGAACACATGGTATTTAATAGAAGTTGAGGATGGAGATGATGTAATCCATAGAATCGAAGTAAGTTGGGTCAAGTGGAGTCATTTGTCTGGCTTATTATGTGATTGGAGAATACCAACAAAATTAAAAGAAATATTTTTTAGAACTAGTAGGTATGTGATGCTTTACTAAATAGAATGTTGGGCAACTAAGAAATAATAAGTTCAAAAAATAATTATAGCTGAACTGAGAATAATTAGATAGATGTGTGGTAAGACTAGGAAATATAGAATTAGAAATGAATATATTCATGAAATGGTAGGAATAACACCAATTAAAAATAAATTGAGAGAAAACATATCAAGATGGTTTGGTCATGTACAACAAAGATATATATAACAATAAGAAAGAGTGATATGATCACCATAAATGAAAATGTTGGGGCAAGGGAAAAACTAACCTAGCATGAGATGCAGTAGTGAAAACCAGACATGAATTAAATGAATTTAACTGAGCATATAGCCCTTGATAGAGCAAATGGAGAAAAAGGCTTTATATAGCCGACTCCACTTGAGTGATACACAAGGCATAGTTTGGCTTGGTTTGGTATCATTCTCACACTATAAGCACATATAATTATTATTATTATTGATAAATAACTATAGACACATATAATCAAAACTGGCACATCAATTTTGTGCCACCCAATTTCAACAGTTATATGGTTGATGCTGGAGAGTGAAGTGTGAATGAGTAGGTTTGACTGTCGCGTAAATATTTGGGAAAAATAAAAAAGAAAAAAAAGGTGACCCTATGCATGAGGCTCCCTATTTTAACAGGGTTTGGAAGGGCAGGATGTACGCAACCATACCTCCATTCTACAGAGACTGTTTTCGTAACATGAAGCCATGCCACCTGGAGACTAACAACAAAGCTGTTTACCTGCCTAGTTTTTTTTTTTTTTTTTTGTTGGGGGGGGGGGGGGGGGGGAGAACCTTCTCACAAATTTGATAAATCACAAGAAGGAGATTAATTATGACATATCTCAACTATTATACACGTAGTTTTAGAAAAGAGTATCATTTGATTATTTCAAAATCTAGAAAGAGGAACAAAAAACCTATTAAATGAAAGTTTTATTCTGGAAAAAAAATAACAAAAAAAAATAATTTACAAGAATACTGTACGGAAAAATAAAAAGGAAAAAAACATTTAAACTAAAAACAAATTCTCCATCCTATATGAACAAGCTCCAATAGAACAAAAGTAGCTTAAGATGTTTTTCCCCAAATTTTGAACAAGCTTTTTTTAAACAAACCAATTTCTTGAAACTCAGTTACATATACACATAGCATACATTTCATGCACCCTTTTACACAATCATTCCTTGGTTTGGATGGAAAGACTTCAAACAAACAATTTTGGGTCCTTTCTCAAAAACATTATTCAAAAGTTTAATGGCCCCTTAAAATAGAATTGTTTTTCAAGCAACTGAAATTGAATAGCATTTTGCTCCCATTTGCACTACAACATTTTGAAGGGCATTTGGAATGAAATGAACAGCAATTAGAAATCTTTCAATAACTGGTTTTGATGTAGAGAGATCATGCTAGCCAACTTTTTGCCCATTTCTTTTTCTTTCACAAAAGATAATTTTCCTAACATGTTTCACTAGAACTATACATCAAGCACGTGCAACATTGCATTATGCCTTAATAAACAATTGCCCATGTAGACTATAGCAGCTGATTTGATTCTTTTCAAGATGCAGAGAATATGAATGAGGCAGTTAAGGCCACCCTAGGTCTAGCAAAGTGCAACACTGAATGGTACTATGGCACCATCAACAATTTAATGAAGAACTTCCATTTACAAAGATGAAAAGAATACAAATAAGGCAAAGAACTCCATTACATTCCTGTCTAAGAATGGGCTCACATGCTCCTAAGCATCAGTTCTAAAAATGGTACTGCTTCAAGGTGATGTACTTCATACAAGGCATGCATCAAATAGTATTTCTTATGATGGATGGCTAAGTGTATGAAACATACCATAGTGAGGATGGTTGTCCTTGAGATTTTATTCTACACGAAACAATAATGGAGTTTTAGTTTAGCTATCATGCTACATAGTTCGAAAGTAAGCTAATTTTAAAGGAAAAGTTAAAACAATATAGTACTTTACTTCTTGGTGATGGATCCACAAAAAAAGGGAAGAGGGGGGGGGGGGGGACATTTGGGCGGTTTCGCAAGTTTGGAACAAAGACTTATGTGATTGAAATTATACATAGGTGACCAGCCAAAATTCAGCTAAACTTTGTGATGCTCAAGGATTTATTATCCTTAGGTTGGCTGATTTCTAAGTGCTTGCCAAAATTAAGATAAGTGACCGCATCTTTATCTAATTTCTTTTTCCTTTTGGAAGATAAGCCAAAGGGAATGGGGTTGAAGGATCAAGCTTCCAAAGCGATTAAAACCCGAGTGTGCAGTAAAAATGGCAATACAACCAACATGCTTCCCCATGTAAATATCTCCAATATTCAAAATTTCCAAGCTTTCAAAATGAGCCCAAGTTCAATATCTTAAATCTCAATACATCTACCTAGTCCCTGTTTATTCAATGGGCACCTAACCATGACAGCTAAAATTCAATAAACTTGTCACTAATTGCTACTATAACAACTATAAATTCAATTTCGGTGTTCCAATTTCAACTCCACATAAATAAGAACTGAATGTCGCATCCAAAAAAAGATCAAAGCAGAAGAGGACTTACTGAAGAGAAGCTTGTCCAAGCTCTCATTAGCTACATACTCATACACAAGCAGCTTCTCCGCACCGTGCGCACAATACCCCAACAAATTGACAACATTGCGGTGCTGCACGCGGGCCAACAGCTTGGCCTCATTGGTGAACTCTTTCTTCCCCTGATTCGAGCTCTGCGACAGCTTCTTCACCGCAATTTCTCTCCCATCACTCAACCTCCCCTACATCTCCAAAACCCTAACAATCACATACAAATCCACACACACATATATATACATACATACACAAAGATAGAGATATAGTTTGTATGAATGAATTAAGGGTGGTCACCTTGTAAACAGGGCCAAATCCACCTTGGCCGAGCTTGTGATTGGGGTGGAAATCTTTGGTAGCAGAAACTAGGGTTTCGAGTGAGAATTGCTTCTGCTCTTGTGCCGCGATCTTCTCCAAATCTTCTCCAGAGTTTCCTTCTGATTCATCAATTACAGAACCACAAGCACAATATAACAATTATATATAAATACACACACACACACACACACACATATATATATATATATATATAGAGAGAGAGAGAGAGAGAGAGAGAGAGAGAGAGAGAAAAAGTGTACCTTTCTTGGATTTGAAAGGTTTGAGGAGGAGTTGAAAGAAGCTGTTGCTTGATTTGGTCATGGTTATTTACAAACCCATGAAGAAGAAGAGGTTGGAGAATTGGAGATGAGATGAGAGAGTTTTTGGGATTGTGAGAGAGCTTAGGATTAGGACGAGAGATGGTTGAAAATGGTGTTTGGTGTTTTTGTTTTTGTTTGTGTTTGTGTTTTTGTGTTGTGAAGAAGACGATACTAATTTGAAGTCTATTATATCTTTCTCTTTCTGTGCAGTATCGAAAAGTCTAATCGTTCTCATTCTGTGTAGTATCGAAAAGTAGGGCAGTTGTTACAAAGAACAACGTGTTGACTTTTAAGACGCTAGGCTCTTTAAGATTCCGTGTTCTAGCCTAAAAAGTTAGGTAATTACGCATCATTTGGGGGTGCTTTTTTTTATATATATATATATATATTTGGGGGTGCTTTTATATATATATATATATATAGTTTTAGTGAATTTTTTCTTAAATTTAATTAATTTTTTTAACTTTTTGGATGTATTTTAAAATGAAATATTTATGGATAAATATTTACAAAATTAATAAATATAACATAATATGAAAACGTGATTTTTATATTTATTTTGTTTTTTTTGGTATTTAGTTCATAAATATTTTATTTTTTAAGTGTATCTAGATCAAATAAATTTAAAACATACTTTAATTATTAAAACAATTCACTAAAATTAAAAAGATACAAAAAAATAAAAAAATTTAAAACCTCAAACAGTGATTAATTTTTAAAAACTTGGATCAGACTAGATTTTTACAATTTTGTAAAAATATGTTCCATTTCCCACTAATTAATAATTCTATGGTACAATATGCCATTACAATGTTAAATAAAAAATTTTATAAATTAGTCAGTTTACGTATTTTTTTTAGGGGAATTGACCAGTAAATCCCATATTGTGGACTTGTAATCCATAAGGTCCTGAATGTTTTCTTAGTGACTGGGTGGTCCCTTAATTTGTTTGTTGACAGTTTTGCCATTACTAGTATTATTGATTGACATTTGGTGTGGGTTTGTATGTGATAAGGTGAATGGGTGTTTGTATGTCACGCTGATCGAAAAAGCACGCTAATGCTTTTTATAATTTAGTAAGTGTGTAACACTCAAACACATGAGACGTGGGTGTGACGTGAACACAAGTAATTTGAAATAATTTTTTTGTTTTTTTTTTTTGTGACGTGAGTTGTGACGTGAACACAATTAATTTGACATAATTTTTTTTTTTTTCTTGTGACGTGAACTAAGTAATTTGACATAGTTTGACATGAGCAATTTGACACTAGTAATTGTGTCACGTTCTTTATTTTTTTGACATTAAGTAATTTGACGTGAACTACTTTATTGTAAGACATTCTTTATTTTTTGCAATTTTTACTGTCTTTTTCCTTTCTATTCTTATTTGCAGTTAATGATCCCTACGTTATGAAGGCATGGGAAAAAACTTACCCAGAAAACAAGCACGTCAAGTTCCTAGGCGATGGCTCAGCAAAGTACACCCAAACTCTTGGCCTTGGGCTCGATGTTTCGCAGGGAGGGTTAGGCATTCGGTGCCGGAGGTTTGCTCTCTTGCTCGATGACCTCAAAGTGAAGGTTCAGTCACAACCCTGGGGAAGACCCGATTCCCACGTTCTCCGATTCTCCACCGCCACCGTAGCCTCCGTCGCTGTCTTCTCTTTCTCCGGCATACCCAGCAACGGTTCAGTCACAACCCCCTCGTGGTCCGAACTTTATTCGGAATTAGATCGAATCCATTTCTGGGTTGCAATGTACAGTGGGATTGAAATTAGAGAACTTGGGTCAGCAAACGTGGATCAGCAAACGTGGGTCAGCAAACGTGGATTAGCCAACCAGCACTGCAGTGTTCATCCATGTTCAAAACATGAGACCGAAATTACCAAACGTGGATGAGGTATCCCACAAAATCTGCATTCAATCCCAAAATAAACCTGTATAGAAAAAAAACAAAAAAGGGCAAATATGTCCACACCCATATCACATAAATACAAAATGGGACTTAACTGTCCACAAAACATGCCAAACAGGACTTGTCAATCCAAAAGAATGAATGTGGGATCAAATGGAGTAATAGATTGGTAAATAGGACTTTCTGATAATTTTCCCTTTTTTTTTTTTATGTTTTTCCTAAAATATGAGGGCAAGGGTGGGTTCCTCATGATTTAAGGCTTGTTTGGAGTGTTCTAAATAAGTGTATTTTTTAATTTTTTCGACTAAAGAGTAGAGAAAAAAAATAGTTATTTGGGATAACTTTTTGATTTTTCACAAAAAAAATATGTATTAAAATATTGTATAAAATAACAAAATTACTATGTTACCCTTACATATATAAATGCCTACTGACAGTAATGATACCGTCATGCATACGGTGGGCAGCTAGGACCAAATTACCTACGGTGCTGTTCGGACTGGACGGCGCTGTTTGGCCCGTGGAGGCCCACCACGGGTTCTGTTTTAATATATAGAACTCGTCGAATACTTTATAATTGTGAAAAATCACGTTGATCGGATGTCTATAGCTATCTGATCGGATTAGTTTTTTGTCAACCGTTACTTTGTGCACTGTCCATTTTTTCTATACAAAACTGATTTGATCATATAGTTATCGATATCCGATCAATGTGATTTTTTACAGGCATATAGTATTCGACGAGTTCTACATATTGAACAGTTCCAATTATCAAAACAGAACCTGTGGTGGGCTCCCACTGGCCCAACAGTATTCGTGACACCTCAGCCTATATACATATATGTTCTGACAGCACATCATTCCAATAATATTTATTCACACACACACACACACACACACACACACATATATATATATACATATGTTCTGATAGCACCAGACATCACCATCATTGTCATACCAAAACTTGACTTGTACTTTTTTTTTAATTTGTTTTTTTTATATTTTTTTCTGAATAGTGACAACTTTTTGACTTTTTTAGTAACTTTTTAACTTTTTGTTTTTTTTCATAGATACCAAACCAACCCTTAATTTGTTCTACTTGTAAGAGCAACTCTACTGCTGCTCGATTTGTTTGGATGAATTTTTTTTGTATTTCTTGACATTTGGTATAATAAAAAATAAAAATTAATTAAAAATATTTTACATAATTAACAAAAAATAAGTCTATGTGAACAGAAAATGTTTTATATTTTTAAAAGGCAAAACATGTTTTCTGAATTAAACTGTTAGTATCAATGTCACTATACTACCACCATTACTTTTATCTCCACCACACCACTATCACTATGGCCACCGTCATTGCTGCCACACCACCACCTCTACCTCCACCTTAGGATATATATCATGTGGTACATTTTACTACTATAATTGGCTTTAATAATAGGATCTAGGGGATTTTTTTTTAAGATCACTGATATTAAGATTTTATAGCATAAAAGACATCTAATATTTCAATAATGTCTAAAGTCCCTCAACATTGATCTAGAGAAATTTCGATCCCAGAAAAATTCTCTCCAGAGAAATTCTAGACTTTCCAAAGAATTTCTTTGTATTCAAACCAAAGAAAATTGAAATTTCTCTGGCTTTACTCACAGAGAATTGAAATTTCTCTGGCTCTGTTCACATAGAATTTCTATGGCTTTGCTCACAAATTTCTCTGTGTTTGTTCACAATTTTAAGTTAGAGAAAATTGTTTTAATCAAACAAGAGAAATTTTAGCTCAATGATTTTAAACTAGAGAAATTGTTTTAACTAAACCAGAGAAATTTCTCTATGTTTGTTCACAACTTTAAACCAGAGAAAATTGAGTATAATGACAAACAAGAAAAGAAGAAAATCAGAGATTGAAAGGAGAAGATAAAATTTATTTTCTCATTTCCCTTCTGTTTTCGAAATGTTTCCAATATGTTTTTATTTCCAAGCTAATTGAAGCAACATACCCAAAAGAAATGTTCATCCTTGCATGATTTTAACCAACCCGGGAACAGATGTCATTTTGTTCACAGTAACCAAAAATTTGAGCAAATGTTTCTTGCTTTTCTGGATAGCTAGAAATTGTAATTTTACCTTCAACATATCCTCATATTTTCCTACCTGCCAGAACATCCATCGGAATAGTTTTACCAGCACCACTGACAACCACTAGGGCTGTGAGAACAACCGGCCTGAAAACTTCACTAATACCCTTCAAAAGCATAAGTCTATCTTCAACTACCCAGCTATTTCATTTCCTGTAGGTCATATTTCAGCAATTATTACCGTGTTCTTGATTACATATCTTTGAGACAAGCAATTTACTAACATCCAAACAAACACCAATATATCAATTGTTTAACACTTTAGATTTTGTTACTTGTGGCATGTCAATAGAGTATTATAATCAATACCATTACAATGGTCTAAAAGCAAATAAAATTAAAAAAAAAATTTATTATCAATAACAACTACACATGCAACATTAGAACAAAAAATTAGGAATATATGTTTGTACATAGAAAAACTCACTTGCATGAGCTTGAAGATGTAGACAAATTGAGTGATAAAAGAATTTCTCTGGATTCAAATCAGAGAAATTTTAATCAAACCAGAGAAATTATAGCACAAATTTCTCTGTGTTTGTTTACAATTTTAAACCAGAGAAGATTATTTTAACCAAACCAGAGAAATTTTCCTGATAAAAGAGAGAGGAATTCAATAGTTCAAAGGAAAATCTATGCATCTAAACTCGTATGAACAAATTGAGTGTTATGAACACGCAGTATAGTGAAATGAATACAATCATTTCCAGTTGCTGTGCCAATATTTAAATGGAGGTCATGCAACACAACTTTCCATTCCCAAATACTGTGCCTATATCTAACGATTTTTTTACTAGTATTGCTGCTCTGTTTCTCTTTTACTAGTCAAAACTTTCACAATTTCAAAAAATAAAACTCTCTTTGCCAGAAAAAATGGAGACAAAGACTCATGGCGTGCTTGTTTCGTTTGTTGCATTTGGCCACATGATGCCATTTTACTAGCTCTCTCTCGTTTTAGCCAAAGCCGGTATTCGCGTCTCCTACGTTTCAACCCCAAGAAAAATCCAGAGACTTCCTTAACTCCCTCTTGAATTATCATCACTCATCACCTTTGTTTTGATTCCTTTGCCGACGCTAGACTCGAACCTCTTACCGAAAGATACAGAGGCCACTGTTGATGTTATTGCCGAAAAAATCCAGCACTTGAAGGTCGCGTTTGATTTCCTTAAACAAACCCAGTGTTGTGAACAGCCAGCT